AATAAAAAACGACAACTGATGCCAGTATATTCAGTCTATTCCTCAGAGACCTGTTACCTGCATCCAAACTAACCCTGAATTGTCAGCATGATGAAAATAGTAACCAGGAAGCTTCTTGGAACCAATCCGAGGGTTAAGTGGGCGTCCGGTTCAGTGGTCTCAGGATCTCGTCTCTGCTTCTTGGGGATGATGGTTTTATTGACTTCGTCAGGTGGCGGCCGAGATTGGAGCAGATTGAATGAAAATTAGCGCCTCAAAGTCTGAGGGCATAGTTCTCAGGTGGAAAGAGGGGAGTGTCAGGAGCGAGTTGCTCCCACAGAGAGACGTATTCTGAGTTCTTCTCTGCGAGTGAAGAAAGAGATTGAAGAGCAAAGCCAGTCTACTGGGAAATGGCCACAAACCTTCAGTGGTGATAGAAAGAATGAGGTGGTGGATAAAAGCAAGAGAAATGAGATTCTGCCCAAGGGTGTCTGGGCTCAGCCTCGGGGATGGGATGAGGAACTCTGGGAGGGGCAAAGAGGCGGCCCACTAATCCTCATCATCGAAAGGAACCAGTTTAAGTAGTTCGGGTATCTGACCAGGATGAATCCTGTGTAAAATGTTCTGGGCATCATCCAATGGGAGAAGACCCTGGGACAGACCCAGGACACGGAGAAGGGGTAGACTGGGAATGCCTTGGCATCATCCCAAGGAAGGAAGGAAGGAAGGAAGGAAGGAAGGAGTACAAAAAACCTCATCCCTCAAGTTCTGAATATTCCCACTAACCTCTGCTGATCTCACCTGTGAGGTCGTCTTTTCTTTGCACTACCTCAGAGCACTTTGCATCTGGTTCTCTGATGTGTGCCTTTATCATTTTCAAACATATTCCTGTTGATTGTACACAATTCTCCTGCATGTTATTTATTCCTGATGTCTACTATTTGTATTTTATTCCAGCACAGTTTGTGTGGTGCTATCGTTGAACATGTAGAATGACAATAAAGAGCTTTTCTATTCTGTTCTATTTTATTGGGAGCTGCAGAGAAGTTCAATTTTACTTTCAAGAGTTTAAAATCAACATTTCAAACAGTTATTTGTTGGACACACTGTTAGTCTGTTTTGTGCCCTCAGGTTACCAGACTCATGCTGACACAAACACCAAATGAATGATAAGTGTGATTACTTCAGATCCTGACATGTTTTTAAATGTCTAAAAGCACAAAAATCAAACACTATACCAATTACCTGAGACACGCTTTGATTACTGTGTGTGTGTGTGTGTGTGTGTGTGTGTACCAGTCTCATGCTGAGCAGCCGCGTGTGTGTTCGTCCAATGTTGTTGTAGACGTGGCTGCAATGCTGCAGCAGCTCCAGCAGCTGGCTCTCGACGTGCTGAGCGTCAGAAGGCACACTGTGCTGGATCAACGCTTCGCCGCGCTGCAGCAGGGCGTTCACACGCCCCGAATTCTCGCACACGCACTCCTGAAACGACTACGCATAAAAAAAAGAAGAAATAAAATGAATAACAAAGTAAAAACATGCAGAAAGAAACTGATGTGTCACTTCAAAACAAGCCCACACCTGCAGCTGTCTCAGTTTTTCACAGGCGTTTCCTGTCAGCTGCTCAACCTCGATCAGGCGGACATCCATGTCAGCCAACCAAACTGCAAGCTCCTCCCTTTGTGCATCAAACGCCTCCCACTCTGAGACAAAGAGCTGAGAGAGAGGGAAGAGTCAACTATAAAGAAGAGAGAGAAGTGAAATCCTCCTCAGAAGGTCTGACTCACGTACCTGCAGTTGGCCTGTGATGGACTGCAGTTTGGCGCTCACGTCATCCCAGCGGCGGCCGCACTCCCTCGCCGATGACAGCAGCCGAGCCTGCATGGTACCCTGGAAGAGCCGAGTTAGTGTTCGATTCCTCCGTGTCAGGCTGTCCAGCTGGATGAGGCGAGGCCCCGCCTCTCGCCGCAGCCTCTGAACACACAAACACAAAGTGCATCTGAAGCAGATGTTTTTTGGTTTCCCAAATCCAGGCTTGATCAGGTGGAGATATTCTTATATTTGGAAAACTTGGACGAGTCTGCGACTGTCGTCTTCCAGAAAGACTGAAACCCGAATCAAATCTATGCGATATGCAATCAGTTCAGAAGAACACTCTAAAAGCCCCGTTTCTGCCCGATTTCAACTAAATTGTGCATCAAAACAAAGCCTCACTTTGTACATGCCTGCTATGAAAGTTCTCCTCTATGCAGACGACTTTCCTGTTCTCAGGCACAACTTAGATCTGTTGTAGAAATCTTATAGACACACACACTTAAAACTACAGTGTGCACGACTCCAGATCCTGATCCCTCGTCCTAATATGTGGCTCACAAAAACCAACATAGCAATAAAGCAAATGCTAAAGCTTCAAAATGCAAAGTCCATAAACCAAAGGCTGACATGGGTTTATCACAAGGATGATAAATATACAACATATGGTCTTAGGACTAAAAGTATAAACAGATTTTAATCCGTTTTAGAGATTTGATGTTCATTTACCTGCAGATGCAAACCTGATCAGAACATTTTGCAACCCAGCATTTAACCTCTGAGGACCTGGCGTCCATATATGTGAACATCACATTTTGGATTGTCTAGACCAGGGGTGTCAAACTCAAATACACAGTGGGCCAAAATTCAAAACTGGAACAAAGTCGCGGGCTAACGCTAATATTTATTGAAATATATTTATTCCTCCAGATAGAAGAATGAATCTTTTCTTATGGACTCAAACAAGTTTTGCTGAAAAACTGAATATGGAACAAGCAAAGCTTAATACTAAACAATATATATATTAGCTGTATAATACCAGTAGGCCAGCTCTAATAGTCATTTGGTATGGCTTCGTGGGCCAAATGTAATTAGGCTGCGGGCCAAATTTGGCCCGCGGGCCAGAGTTTGACACCTATGGTCTAGACCAAAATACTAAATTTTGCTCTACATGGGCCTGATGTCCACTTACGAGGACGATATACTGCCAAGGTCATATCATCATATGTGGACCTCAATTTTCTCAGAAACAAAAATCAGATTAAAAAAATAAAATAAAATCATGCAATTCTTTGTTTTTACATTCATCAGGTCCCAGTCAGTCCAAATAGCAAAGAGAAATTAAAAATGCCATGAGAGTTCAGGTCTTAGGAGGTTAATGCAGGAAGTAGGTGAACTACATTGGGGGCGTCTTTCTTTGTGAGAGGATCGTATTAATGACAGGAAACCTCAGTGACATCATAGAGATGCATAAAGACGCTCAGTCTCCCGATTCTCTTCCTTCTCCTTTTCCATCAAATTCTAATTCAGTCTAATTGTGTTTCTCCTCTTCCTCATTTTGTTGGAGCTGCAGACACAATCAGTGTGAACCTGAATGAATTTGTGCAAACAAGAAGAATCTGCAGCTTTTCGGTCAGAGGTGGTCTTGTTATTTAAGCCGGCAGCACGAGTAGATTTATGTGTTGATGCTGCCTGCTTCAGCTTTACGACTGGCTGCTGAGTGATATTTACACCCTGGCTGGGTGACAACTTTAACCATGTGCTGAACTTTGGCCCAGCTTTGCTCTGACCCAGGTTTTAATTTGTGCGAGTGCCTGAACACAAACACAGAGCTCAAACATCAATTCTGTCACAGAGAGACAACAAAAGAGATTCAGTGCACAACAGAAATACAGACGAGTCCAAGGTGAAAGATGGTTGCTGGAATCCCTGTGAGGTTAAAACACCTGAAGCCAAGTTTAGATTTCAGTTTCTGTTTAAGTTATTTCTTTTTCCCCCACCTCAAACTTCTTCATTTCCTCCTTGGCGGTCTGGTAGGTAACGTGGACGGAGTTTGGGGAAGAGACGGCCTCCTCGGCCAATCTCAGCCAAGCATCCAAGTGGTCGTACTCCTTCATAAACTCATGCCAGAGCAGCCATCTCCTCTCCAACCTGGCAGAAATATGCACAAAGTGAGAAGTTTTCAAGCTGAACAAGAAACCTGAGAAAAGTGTAACTGTGCTGTTATTAGTCTGCAGTGCAAATTCATCGTTCAAAATTGACCTCAGCTGAAAAAATGCTGCAGAGTAGCTGCACAGCAACTCTTAAAGATCTATCATCTGTTTTACTGATTACTCAGGTCTGATTATCAGCTGAAGGACACTCACTGTCCACAGTCCTGCAGGTCTCCATCTTGGCTCCAGCTGCTGTCGACTCGCTGCATTTCCTCCTTTAGCTCCACTGGAGACGAGTGGACAGGAAGCCGGCACTGGTACAGATCCAGGAGGTGCTCCGTGTCACTCACTTCATCTCCGGGTACAACACCACTTCCTGCAGGGTTTGGGGTGATGCTGCTGTGGCGTTCCGAGGTGGGCAGGTCTATGCCAGGCATTTCAACATCATGTGACCTTTACCTGATGGAGAAGACGCCACTGATTAGAATTCACATTAATTCAGAGACATATGCCTAACGCAACACGCCAACAATATTGGTTACACTAACCACTGCCAACCACCCCTCCGTGCTCTGCTGATCCAACTCTGGGTCAGTTTGTGTTTTTCTGAATTTTTGGTTGATATTCTGTCCATGTCCATTAATATTCAAACAAAATTAATTCATTTTATTCTGAGAAAACTTAAATTCAGCAGGGGATCAAATAATTTCCTCACTATAGCCAAATATGGAGTTACTGCATTCAACGACTAAACGAAAGTCCCAGTTTTGCCAAGTGTTTGTGGGCAATAAGGAGAATCTTTTTATTCCCACAATCTTTAGTTGTTCCTGAAGTTGATGCGACTGCTTTAACAAGGTGACACGAACACGTTTGAGACGGCGCTCCTGGAGAAGAGCAAACAACAAGAAATCAGGCTGCCAGTCAGTGGCTTAAATCCTCCGAGCCAGGAGGACGACCACACAGCCATGAGTCACCATTATTGCTTCCACTAGGACACACACACACACACACACACACACACACACCTTATTCATGAGTCACTCGGGTTCTTTATTGAGATGGAGCCAGAACTGTTCTCCATGAGTGGAGACAGAGCGGGTCTGATTTATGAAAAGCAGGACAAATTTACACTGCACCTTTCATTCAGTTGGTGCTCACAGTCTGTGTGTAATTATCTCCCGATTTACAGACGCAGCAGGTGATTACACACTCAGGACCTGTGACCGACATCCAGGCGCTCTGTGCACAATAAAACGCCATTTTCCCCTCCAAACGTCTCAAAATTAAGATGATCACAAACATTTTCAGACAGCATTCAGGGGATTTGGCAATGTGGAAGTTAAAGTAGACGATCATGTAATAAAAGGGACGTAAATAGGAGATTTTATAATTTAGCCCAGTTACTTGTGCCGCTGACTAACCTGCCAGCTGTTCTTCCCCAGATGATGGTGAGAGACGTCTGTAAAAGCTGTTACAGCCCAATTTAAACACGTTTAAATACGCTGCTCTTCTCAAAGAAAAAACACTTTCATATCTTAGTCAGGACGTTAATTAACATAATGCTAACCATAACTGTAACCCTGACTCTAAAAACCACTTGTGTACACACACACACACACACACACACTCATAAATCATACCCATCTATTGTGCGTTTAGTGGAGGAGCAGGAGTGTACTCTGAGATAAAATGAACACAGAGGAAACAGTGATGGCAGATCTGCCAGTCTCAGCTCAGTAAATTCAGACAAATGCAAACTGTAGAGTCTCATCAGAAAGTGTGCTGCAGGGATTTCACAGTTCAGTGAAGCTGAAGTTCAAGCTCAAGTTTAATGAAGAGAAAACTGCTCGTCCTCTGTGTTTGAAGACAGTCTGCTTGGTTTCCCTTTCCAACACTCGTAGTTTTCTGTGCACCTTTAGTTAACCTCTTAAGCCCCCAAGCCTACCTGATCTCCTGCTTTCAGGGAGCAAAAAGCAGGAGATCAGGTAGGCTTGGGGCTTAAGAGGTTAACTAACTCTTATGATAAGGAAATAAATAGGAGAAGATATCATTTATGGTCACGTATCGGTCAACATCTTTACTAGCTGATCGGTTTTTGTCCACCAGGGGGAAGAACAACAACAACATCATCAAGCTGACAGAGACCGTCTGTCCTCCTGCCAGTGAGCCATAAATCAGCGAGCCATCCCGAAAGATGTTTTCCTGAATTCCCAAGATGCACGGAGGCGGTGTAGTGTAGTAAGTGCAGTAATGCACAGCTGTTTTATACAAGCCACATCTGGAGAGACTCTACGTAGCAGCCCCCTTATATTCAAATGCTTTGGCAACCTGTCCACGGTGTACCCCGCCTCTCGCCCTATGATAGCTGGGACAAGTTCCAGTAAACAGTTTCCTGATGAGTTTATGGTCTCAGATGTTGGATTGCAAACTCTCAGCACTGGCTTGTTTTTAGAGGTTTTTTTTTTCTTTTCAGCCCCTCAGGCTGCTGCTCAGTGATGCTATGATGGCCATCTTTTATATACAGTCTATAACTAACACCGTGTCGTCCGTTTGCTCCTCGTCCTTCCCTCTCCGGTCAGACAGCCACCTCAGGTGCTCGCACACACACCTTTGTGTTTCCACCTGAGCACTTTAGTATCCCAGACCCATAGATCAGGCGCTGCCTGTCCTATCAGGCCAAGGCCGCCTCCTCCAGACTCCCACCTGGGGACTGAGTGTGTAACAGAGTTATGAGGCCAAGGCGTCAGACCTGGACCACTGAGGCTGCATAGATCCTGCTCACCTGTCTGCCTGCTACAGCAGAGCGTGTGCACCTCTCCAGTCTGCGTCCAGTTATATTTTAACCATTACACACCATTTATTTCTTACACAGCGAAAGCATGTGTGCGTGTCTGACCTGGACTTTACCTTCACACCAGTTTTATGGCTTCAGGCCTTTAAAAGCTTTAATCAGGTTTGATTGTCAGATGGTAAACGGAGAGCAGCTTTGTAACGTCACATCTACTGACCAATCATGTTTGAGCAGCAGGTTTTAGTTGCCTGCAGGTAATTCACTGCACAGGACTGATTAAAGAGGAACTCCCTGAACCGAACCACTGGTGGTGGGGAGGGAGCCGACACGGCATCTAGATCCATGTTTTGTGTAGGATAGAATAAAACAGCCGTTCATTGCCATTGTACGTGTACATCGACGCTGTGGTGCAGTCTGTGCCTGAAGTGGGCGATCGTGGCTCAAGAGTTGGGAATTCGCCTTGTAATCGGAAGGTTGCCGGTTCGAGCCCCGGCTCGGACAGTCTCGGTCGTTGTGTCCTTGGGCAAGACACTTCACCCGTTGCCTACTGGTGGTGGTCAGAGGGCCCGGTGGCGCCAGTGTCCGGCAGCCTCGCCTCCGTCAGTGGCTGTGGCTACACTGTAGCTTCATCACCAGTGTGTGCATGACAGGTTGTGTAAAGTGCTTTTGGTTCCACAGGGACTAATAAAGCGCTACACAAATGCTGGACATTTACCATTTGAAGTATGAAAGCGGCAGACAGGCAGGTTCATCTCAGTTCATTTAGTGACATTTATCACCTCAGTCTCCACAGAACAGACGCGAACATCTGCTTAACATCTGAACACACACACACGGCTGTTTTCCCACTGAGCTCAAAGAGTGAATGAAGCTTCAGTATGTAGATTTACCAGACAGAGAGCAAGCGAGCATCTTTAACTGCTGATGAGTCGCCAGCTGCCTGCAGTGCGCGCACACACACACACACACACACACACACACACACACACACACACACGATTTAATGACTGCATCAACCTCACGCCCCACTCATTGAGTCTTATCAGAGACACGAGTGAACCCTCAGTCCCGAGCTGTCCTCTTAGTGCTGTCAGTGCAGTTTCAGACCCTGGAGGAAGTCAACATTAGTCTATTTTAGACCCAGCAGGTGTAAGACGTCGGCGTGACAGAGGAGGAAGCTGGGACAGGAGGCAGAGGATCTGCTGTGATGCCCCTTAAAGGGAACAGCCAAGAACAAGATGAAGAAAACAGACTGAGCAGATCCAACTTTGACTCTTGCAAGTCTTCATTCATAACAGCGTTTGGAATTGAACCAGTGAACAACATCCAACTCCACAGATAAAATAGACTCATTAACCTTTGTTGCATCTAAAAGAAAGTGCAATAAGAACAATAAAACATTTCCAGATATGCAGAATGCTTAAAATGAAGATTAAAAAGGGGAAACAAAACTCTTTTCTGTTACTCTGCTGATCCCTGCTGCAATTCTCTCAGTAAAAACAAAAGTAAGTTACGTCATGCAGCAGAAATTAAAAGTGCGTTTGAATAACAACACAATGTTACTAAGAGACTCTGGAAATTTGACAGGGTGGGGAAAAAAAAAGTGTTGAATTTCCTGTCAGACTGAACAAACGTGCCATCTTCAGTTTCCCTCGTTATGCAGCAGCCTGGTGTGTAACAGACTCACAGCACGAGGCTGAAACCATTTCCTGCAACCAAGCGAGGACAAGCTCATTATATATTCATTATATTTATACAGGGAAAAAACCTCCATGCTTGAGAGAAGAGCTCGAGACAAAAGGATTACTTATTATTTGAAACATTAATATGAACACGAGACATGACAGGAAATAAGAACAGAACAGGTCCACTTTAACCCCAGTTTCCTGTCTGTGAGCTAAGCTCGGCTAACCGTTTGTGGCATTCGTTTCATGGACATCTAAACATATTTGCTTATTGCCGAGAACGATGAGTGCACTTCCCCCGAACTGCTGAACCAGTCCTTCAAATGTGGACAGAGCGCAGAGCCCAGGACAACAGCAGGCAGGTGTCTGGAAATTTTCCATGAGAGGGAAAAATTTGAATATGAGATACACCCACCCGGCTGAATTACAGGAAGATCTGCTCAAACAGAGTCACAACACACACACACACACACACTAAGTCTACTACCTGACATACTGATGACATCACTTATGATGTCAATCACCAGCAGAAACAGGGAGGCAAAAAATAAATCAATAAAAATCTTGTGATCGTATTGGACGAGAATACAAGCAGTGAAGTCTGATTGGCTGTAATGATTGATGCTTCGTCATCCAATATGATTCCCCGACAGCTGTGCGTGTCTGTGCGCACGTCTTCCATGACTTTGACGCCGGTAACACCTGTCTGCAGGGACAAACAGCCGGGCTGAGGCTCAGCAGGGCGTAAAACCAGCTGTCCTTATTCTCCTCTCTTTTTCAGCTGGATCCAGAAATCCACCTCTTCTGCCTTTATTTTATTGGCCCACTTTTCATCATTTTAACACCTGAACTTGCATTTTCAGACGTTACCAGCCTCTAGCAGAATCTAATTTCATCAGATAGGAAACAACATCAGGGCAATCTGTTGCAGAAAGAGAGCAATGTTCGCTCTCGGAGCCGAGAAATCTGTAACCAATCAGTTT